AATTAATTATATTTATTCAAGTGATTGATTATTTTTGTAAGCTACTGTAAATATAAATTTAAAAAAATTAAATTAAATAGTTTTTAGTTATATTTATTGAAATAAAACAATTTAATAAAATTATATTTATATAAATTGATCGGTTTTAGTTTAGATTGGTTTACAAAAAATTAAAACCGATCGGTTTTTGGATCGGACTGGTTTACAAAAAATTAAAATTGATCGGTTTAAAAAAAATAAATCAGATCGATTTCAGTTTTGGTTAAAACCAATTCAAACTGAATTGTTGCGATCCCTAACCAGAGAGATGATAAGATGGAGAGTAGCAACTTTTAAGAGAAAGAGAGACCTAGAGAGAAAAAATTTCAGAGGTAAGGAAAAAACCTAACTTTGACAGGAAGAAAAAAAAAAGAAGAGAAAGGGTGTATATGTAAAAAAAAAGTTTGTAGAAGAGAAAGAAGAAACAAAAAAAAAGGGAAAAAGAGAGTAATAAAAAAGAAAAATAGTATTAGGAGAAAGAAAAAAGCGAAGAAAAAAGAAAACAACTTAAAAATTTCCTAAAAAGAAAATTTTCAAGTGTAGGAGGAGTGGAAAAGAGTTTTTTTTCAGTATTAATAAATCTTTAATATTCTATATAAATATATATATATTTAAAATTTTATCTTAATTGTGAATTATATCTACAAGTTTTATACTAAACTTTTCCTGACAAAAAAAAATATATATTATGTTAGACCTGTGGGTCTATAGCACAGTGGTTAGTGCTCCACAGATCAAATCACAAGATACTGGTTCAATTCCAAGTGAAGGCAGTTAAATAGAATTAATATGGTACCTGGTGTCATAACTTGAAATGTGCTGTTTTTCATAGAAAACCGATTCACACACTGATTCAGTGAGCATTGAGATTGTGATTTTCAAAGAAGGCGACGTGGCGCGATGATCATCTGGTTAGTGCATGATAATCATTGGTAAAACAGGATGTACCAAACGTTTAGATGTACAGATAGGGCTGTACTCTATCCTAACCAATCCCGTACGACAATCAACCAATGGTAGTTGGATCCCTAGCCTGGAATATCTCAATCCGGTACAGAACTTAAAAGGATAAAACTTGCCGCAGGTGATAAAAAGTGTTATGACTTGTGTAAGCCCAGAATTGGTACAAGTGATAATCTGAGATTCAGGTGATAAGGTAAAAGGAAGTACTTGAACCAACTTTCATAAGCATTATTCCTCTACTCACAAGCCAAATCTAGAATAGATTAGGTAGTTTAAAACTAGTAGTAGGATTTCTATTCCCTATAGATTTGTCCCTCAGATCGAGATAACTAATAATTAAGTGATAGGAGTCAGGATCCAGAGATGTAAAGATGGGAAGGCACGGGTTAACTTAAATGGATCTTGTAGTACTGTACTGTTGGATATAAATTACTTAATAAAAGATTACGTGCTACTGCACCTTTCAACTTTAAAAAAAAAAAAAGATATATATTATGCTATGGTTTATAAATCTTGTAATTACAAGTCTAAAATTATAATAAAAATAATGTGTAAGGATTGCCTGTTCCTTCAAAAAAAAAAAACTTTTTTTAAAAAAATATCAGTGATTCACACTGTATATAAAAATAGCCTTTTTTACATGTGATTTTTAAGAAAAATTTGATTGGCGATCACGAAAAGTCGCGTCTTCATAAAAGGTGTCGATTACGACTTGTTGCTTGAACATTATACGATCTTTTCAGATGGATTTAGACAACGAGCCCGTTAATCAAGAAATTATTAGGAGTAACAGCGATGTTGATACAATCGATAAGATGAATATAGATCAAAGCACAAATGAGGAACAATCTAATGTTCAAAGGTTTCTTCCATAAGACCTTCAATCATAGTGCGCGTCTATCTCGTATTTTTTTTCATTGCTTGTAAATGTTCTAGCCAAGATACTGAATATATACCAGATACGCCGGAGCTTTTACACATCTTTTATTCAAAAATTTTTCCATACAAAACTTACGCATATTGGCTAAATTATGGTAAAGGTAAGATATCTTTCTGGAACTAATTTTTTATAAACTTATTTTATGTACTGTAAATGTTTATTTGTATAAACTTTTTAGAAATCGATAAGCCTTTTTTGAATCGTGAATTTAGTTTACAGTTACCTACCGAGGCGGTTATTAGAAATCTATCGTTTAGTGGCCCTGATGAAATGAAAACAGAGATTCTCAAATTCTGTCCGTCAAAGTTTGATGTGGGAGCGGTTTATACTGCTAAAGTAATAAATAAAAATTTCTTAAAATGGTTAAATAGAAATTAGCGATGATACTGATTTTCTCAATTTAGCCAAAAGACAAAAAATCTTTAAGGCCATCTGCCTTTAAACCCGTTGAGAAGGAATTGGTTTTTGACATCGATATGACAGATTACGATGATATCCGTACATGTTGCAGGTAATTTATTTTGTTTAACCAAGAACCAAAATAGAATGCGAGATGTATGAATACTAATAACCGTATCTATTAATTAGTGGTGGTGATATTTGCAACAAATGTTGGCAATTTATGACGGTTGCTATAAAAATACTCGATGTTTCTCTTAGAGGTGCAATTTTATGTTTAATGGCCGCTTATTATACTTTCCAGCTGACACAAATTTTCTTTAACACAGAGGATTTTGGATTTAAGCATTTGCTTTGGATATATTCTGGTCGGCGCGGGGTCCATTGTTGGGTTAGTGATGAACGTGCTCGTAAACTAAATAATGAGGAAAGAAAAGCAATTGTAGCGTATCTAGAGGTCGTAAAGGTAATAAAGCTTGCATATATTTCAAGTCTACTATACATTGATGTTTTTGTATATGTATTTATTATCCTACTGCTTTTATATAGGGTGGGGCTCAACAGAGTAAAAAAGTTCGCCTTTATAAAACTCTTCATCCATCATTAAGGTACAATTAATGAAGAATTTTTTTTAACTTTGGATGTTTATTGCCCTACTTTAACAAACCGGTTTAAATAATCTTGTAGTCGATCTCTTGAAATTATTGAAAAATATTTTGAACAAGTGATTTTGGAAGATCAGGATGTACTTCAGGATGAGAAAAATTGGACCAAAGTTCTGAATTGCATTCCCGACGAAGGTTTTTTTTTTTTTGATGGCAGCTAATGAACATACTTGTTTGATAATTAATTTATTTGTTTTAGGTGTAAAGAAAAAGTTACATGATAATTGGTTACAATCGCCAAAAAGATCATCCGTTGATAAATGGAACGATTTAGAATATGAAGTGCAATATGGAGCGGCAAAGAAAGTAAGTCCGCTTTTGACATGCTTATTCCACTTGTAAATAACTAAATTTATTGGATTATTCAATTTTTGTATTCAGGCTTCAAAGAAATTAGAATCATTACAAATGTGTACAAAAGAAATCATGTTCCAGTACCTCTACCCGAGGCTGGACGAGAAGGTGACGACACAAATTAACCATTTGTTAAAAAGTCCTTTTTGCGTTCACCCCAAAACAGGTATATCTGTGAAGCAAGGTTAAAAAGTGCTTGTAGTAGTTAATTAATGAATATCGACCTTACAGGAAGAGTATGCGTGACAATTTCTCCAGAAAACTGTGAATATTTTAATCCGCTAGAAGTACCGACGCTTACTATGTTATATCGTCAGTTGAATGAGAGTTACGCCAACAAAACCGATGGGAAAAGGATTCGTAATGGTAATTCGAAAAGTAGTTCACTATACGAGTAATTTTTAATTATTTGCATGATATTTTATAATGTTCGATTTTTTTAATACTTGAAAGATTACGATGTTACGTCACTTAAACCTTATATCAAATACTTTGAGAACTTTGTGGAGAGTATTGTTAGTGAAGTTCGTGAAAAAAATCGAGGTAAATAATGTTATTGTTAACACAATTGTCATTATTATCAAGGAAATTACTGAATAATGTCATTTTACTAGCTAAGGAAGTATTTTCTATGGAATTTTAAAATCTTAGTGTTTCATTCAATATAAACAAATAAAACTATTTTTGAATTGTAAAGGTGAATGTTAAAGTCTTTACAATAATTTGAACTTGATGTATTAGAGATTTGGATTTGGATTTTTACAATTTGACATAAACGTTTGTTATAAAAAATCTATTGAAAAGATTATTTTAAATAAAAAAATATATTATTTGATTAATATGACTTAAGAATACTAACGAATAATTGAAAATATAGAAATTTATAGTTAATTTTTGGTAAACTTATAATATTGTATTTTTTATTAATTTTATTAAACATTGTTAAATTAAGATTCTTAAAAAAAACAAAATTTTTCATCTATTTCTACTTTATTAATTTCTTTCTTGATATATTATAGTAACAAGCTAATATGAAGATAAAAGTTAATATAGTTTAATTTATATCTAAAATATCTTATAAATAGTAAATTCTTGTAATACATAAATGTATATATATAATAAAGACCATTAGGCAAGGTTTTATTAGTTGATTAAATAAAAAAAATTTTCAAATTATAGTTTAAAAAATTTAATAATAATAAATAATAAATAATTGAATTATATAAGAATAGAATTTTTAATTGTTAATAATTATTTTATTTTATTTTTTTTTAGTAGGTAAACATCATTTTTTTATTTTATTTGTATATTAAAAGTATACATTGTGAAAGAAACAACATCTTTTATTTGTAAATACAGTGAGTTTAATGCTAGCTTGCTTACAAAAATCAAATGACTAATATTGAAAATAAATTTTAAAACAAATTGTTAATAATTATAAAATTAAAATATAATTATATTAATATAAAAATTATATAAAAAAATTTTTTTTTTTAATTTTATCATTATTAAAAATCTTAAATCAAACTAAATCAATAATTTTTTTTTAATGATTAATATATATATGTTGTTAAAATCCATAGATTCTTAATACAATTGATATAGCAATTAATTAAGTTACTATTAAAACATATGATTCTAATAATTTGGTTTGATTTTTATTTATATTAAATTTAATGTTGTTATGAAATAAGTTTTAAGTATCAAATTAAATATTATATAAAAAATATAATTTGAAAAAGATAATATATAATTTGACATATAATTTTATTATCAAGAAACTTTATATCCAAGGATTAAAGCTTTTTAAGAATTCCTTTAATAAATAAATTCCTTACTAACTTTTATAAATAATTAGAATATCATTTAATTAGCTTTAAATATAAATAGTAAAATATACTGTTTTTCTTATATCAATTATAATATATTGCTACTTAGCAATTTAATAGCAATTAATACTGTGAGAACTGTCCTTTTTATATGATCATATATATATAAGCCTATCAAAATATTTATATAAATTAATTTATAAAAATAAAAAAGTTTATTAACAAAGATTTATTAAATTAATAAAATAATTTTATTAAAAATTTAGGGAAAAAATAAAGGTCAGATAATATAATAATCATAATTATAAGAAATTTATATCTTTCAAAAGAATAAAATAGCTATTCTTATATATTATTTTTAGTTATATGATCATTTCATTTTTTATTTATTCATAATGAATAATAATTTTATTTGGAATGAAAATTCCTAAATTATTTAAAATTATATTAAGTAATTAGTTTTTATAATCTTAATAAAATATGTTTCTCTAATTATTTTATCTATAGTTTGTTTCAAAAATCATCTATTATATAAAAATTATAAAAATTTAAGGATTGATAAAAATTCATAAATTAATAATATGCTTATATAATTTTAAATATATAACTATTTTGAATTATGATATTATTTCTTCCTATAAATAATAATTTCAAGAATAAATTTATAAAATAATATTAAAATAATATTAAAAGAAGTTAAAATAATAATAATAAAATAATAATAATATAATGAAATTTAATTATTTCATTACAATATATAAGTTATAACCTATTATCATTTTTAATAATATTTTGAATCTTATATAAGTTTATATAAGTCTGTTTAATTTCAATTTTCAAAACTATAAGTATAGTATAATTATTTTTGAGAATTTTAAAAATTAAATTTATAGTAAATAATTTATATTATATATATAGATTGATATACAATATATTTTATTTATTAAATATTATATTAAGTATTTATATAATTGTAATATAAAATATGATTTTATCTATTTCTTAAACTATTTAAAATAAAAAAAACTACTTAATAGTAAATTGTTGCTTTTTATATCTCTTATATTATTAATATTAAAGTCTTAATAATATAAATAAAAAATTAATTTACTAGAATATATGTTTTTAAGTTTCTATCTATTATTCAATAAATAAAAATTTAAAAAACTATTTGAACAAAATTAATTATAAACCAATTATATTTTATTAGATCTAATTAAATTTATTAAAATTTTAAAAAATTAAAATAGAAAAAAAAATATATATTTATATATGGATTTCTATACTAATCTATAATAAATCTTCTAAAACCTATAGGACATAATTATAAAATTACAAATAAAAAAAATTACTTATTGTTCTAAGAAAAAACCTATTTGTTTTTTTTTAAAAAAAAAAAGCTAAATGTACTATATGTATAATTTTTATTAATTATTTATAATTACAATCATTATATAAACAGTTAATTAACTGGCACTACCTATTTTTTATATCCAATATATTAACTTATATCTTATAGATATGCCTATATATCAGGTTGATAATCAGTATTTTTGTAATAATTTGGACAGACTTTTTTTTAAAAAAAAACCTATTTATATGCTATTGTAATTAATATATATTTTTATAATTAGTTCAAACTCTTTATATATTTTTGATAATTTTTATTTGATTTGAAAAATCTTTAACTAGAATTGGCTATTTGCTTCCTGTTTCAAGTAAAATATTATAATTACTATTCATTATAATTAGATAAAGTTCAGTTATAAAGATATTAAATTCTATAAATAAAAATTAAATACTGTATTATAAGTAAAGTTTATATAAAAAAGTGAAGATATTAGTTTTTATTCTTATTTGTAATTATATATTTTGCTATATTAATATTTGTTGTTATATTATGTTTGCTTGTATTTTCTTGTTATATAAAAAATATTACTTGATTTTTTATTATTAAGAAATCAAATCAAACTTCAATAATATTTTTGGTTTATATAAAGATGACTTGTTTAAGAATAAAAAAAGCTGTTTTTAGTCTTACAACTATTTTATCAACAAGAACTATATCTCTAAAAAAAGTACAATATAACTTTGCTAATCAATATATTTGTTTTTTCAAAAGAAAGAAAACTTTTTAAAAAAGAAATTTTTATAAAATATGTAATTTGTTTTGTAACTTGATTCTAATATTATGTAGTTAATAAAATTAATACAACTATTTGAAACACAAGATCAACAAACTGATTTGTATTAATATTATGAACTCTGACTAAATTCATGTGCATCTTTTGAACAGAAACTATTCCAATTATTACATGGCATAAAATAAATCAAAATGACTGACTTGCTGTAATTTTACCATAACAATATCCAATTTAAAAAACATATTATATTATATATATATATTTATATTTATTTACTTAAAACAAATAAATTTCAATTTATTGTTAAAGATGAATTCATTATTAAAAATTTTAAAAAATTTTAAATTAAATTTCGAAATTAAAATAAAAAATCAATCATTTATTTATTGCAATAATTAAATATACGCATATATTGAATTAATAAGGATTTATTTTATAAATAAATAAAAGTACAATCAGTATTATAAAAAATTTTTTTTAATAATTTTTTTTTCTATTATTAGTTTCAATTACAAATAGAAATCGCAGAAATCTTTTGAAAGAAATAAATATCTGTTAGAGACAGTTAATAAATATTAACGTCATTCATTATACTTACTATATTTTTTCTATTATGCTACTAAGATATCTATGACTTCACATGAAAGATCGCGCTATGAGAGGCTCGCGTCATGTAAAAAAAAAAAAATAAATTTGCTGAAGTTGGATCAACCAAACCACGGAAACGCGTTTTTTGTACTCAATACCAGGAATTGTGTTGAGTATTGTAAGTGACCTCTAATCAAACCCTAAATTACAAGATATACAATATATAAATAAAAAGTCAGCAATCGTTCTTCAAGGCAATACTAGAAAATTATTAAAGAGCATGCTATTAATAAGTATATTACAGATTTCACACGCACTTTTTGAATCATTGACGCTATGAACCACATGACTTCCGACATCTCAACCTCTCGGCCCACATAATTCAAGGCAGCATGAAATTTCGATAAGGGTATTTTTGATTCACGATTATTAATTAGGTAACTATAAAATGCGTGTGGGACGTTATTAAAAATAAAGTGACAAAAAACGAAATGTCAAGAGCGAAAAGTAACATAACATACACTTTCTTGAACAATACCCTCATCGCTATTTCTCTTGCTAGTTCAACCGTCAAAAAGGTATTCTGAGAGACCAGTTTCATCTCATTCTTTGCTAGTGCATCATCAAAATTTTTAACATTGCCATCTCGAATAGCATCAACGAACGGCTTATATAATTTGTTTAATCTAGGATATCGAGAAAGGATCTCCCTTGATGGTAAAACACCTCTGATCAACCAAATCGGTATAAGATAACGAAGAATTAACCTATATTTGTAATATGAGAGAGTGTGAATATTGTAATAAAAATTTATACTGATTTAATATATAATGTCGATAAGTAACTTAACTCCTTGTTTTTTTTACTGTTTTTAGGACACATTCTAAATGCCACAACTAATTTTTCTTCGGCCTTGATTGATTAACTATACATTATTAACAAATTGTTTAGGAAATTTGTGTCCACATTTCTAAAAGAAAATAAAATACCGAAGAATATTCTGCATCTAAAAATAGTTGCAATCCATGATAATAAAGAAAGGTCACTTTGTGTGCTTTAGGGAATTTCTCAAAACCGGGCAAATCCGCAGATGCTGCTTTAATAGACCTCATGACGTTTTTGCAGAGATTTTGTTGTTTCAACTAAAAATTTCCGAAGAACGTGAATAATGCGAACAACAAGGGTTCCACTCTTTCGATAACTAACCTTAAAATAAGTTTTAAATAAGAGTCCCGCGAAGTAATAGGTCCCCCATTTACGTGATGTGGCGAGTGGAGATCTGAGAGAAAGTATGAATAAAAAAATAATTAAGAAGTTGGATTGTGCAGATCAAGAACAAAACATATAGTACCTGTCTGTTATACAAATAGAAAATGTTCTGTTTATCGTTCGAGCAGCTATTTCTAAATTTTTTGGTGGTTTCTCGGCCATCATGAAAATCAAGTCAGACTTTAAAAGAAAGGTCGAAGATCATAACGAATTAGTATATCAGAAGTATCAACCAAGTCTAACGAGAATTATTGATAATTACCTTGATCGCAAGTAGTCGCAAATCGAAATCAATGACGTATAATATCGGCAAGGACCATCGTGAAGAATTGGTTTTATGGAAAGCTCTTTATTTATACAGATAAAACGTTTTGCTAAGGAATAGTTCAATATTTAAAAATTTAACTTTAACGTTCAGAATTTTTCAGTATTACTTTTCCTTGAATAGGATACTGGACCAATAAGAGGTGTTCCTCAAAAGCTTCCGCATACTTTCTTTTGCTGATGGACGTGATCACTTTGATATACAAAAGAATTAGCTCATTCCATGGCTGTTCAAGTATTCTTTTTGCATCGGTTTCCAATTTTCTAACGGAGAATTTTTCACAGTGACTGGCCAATGTTTGCATAAATGGAGCTCTTATAGTCAAGAGTTCTGCAACTTTGGTTCCGTTCTCACGGTCTACATGTTGTTTTAAGCTTTGAAAAAAGTCGGAAATGTTCATTCTAATGTTAGAGTTGATCTGGATACTCTGATGTCGAACTGGATATATGCGTATGGCATGTGACTTAATAATTTTATTGATATTTTTATTTAAATTGAAATACCGTATTTATTATTTATAGAATAAAAAAAAAATTAAATCATAAATTCAAATATTTACATGATATTTATTACATGAACATCTCATGATTTAATCCGGGCACAGATTTACTTTACGTGCTTCATGAAGTTTGAATTGCTTCTATCAAGGATGTAAACATATAATCAACACTACATGATTTTTCCACTCACTAAGAGATCGAATAAATGACCACAAATTGATCCTATAAATTAGCTTGGGTTAGAGCTCTTTTTCTATTCTTGAATAAAATAAAGCTATACGCGAGACTGCACAAGAATAATGTTTTCAAAATTATTCAAACGTTGTTTGTGGTGGATTTATTATCAGGAAAAAACTTACTCGTATTTTGAGGTTGTCGATTTCCTATTACTGATATACTATACATGGATGAAGGAAAAGCACCAGCAGTCTCAGAAAATAACCGTTTAAGATATTAACTGATTGATCTCAATCGAATATCTTTCACTCGTTTAACATAAGCAATAGAAGTGTTTAAACCTCTTGAATATCTTCTTCCCCTAATATTCTGACCAGATTTATCACCAACAGAGGTATATAGCTTCGATGTGCCCTGGTTCCTGAGGTTCCTGATAAAGCTATTAGTAAGATTATTGCGGTAAGTTATTCCTTTTTGTTTCAAGACTTACTTCTAATGCCTGTAATGTACCCATGGATGTAACATTTCGACATATTGCTGTATGGAATTCCTTTCTTTCGTTTTGTAATACAATTCATCAATGAAACGTTTCCCATCAACTGAAGAAAATGAATTATATAGTTTGATCGCTTTTTTTTTGGTATACTCGTGCGTATTACATCTTCTACTTAAACTTCGTAGAACTGTGTACAGATCTATCTTAAAGGTATCAATTGACTGACTTATGGTTAATTCAGTTTGCTTTTGCATGTCGCAAGACAGCAATGATCGAGCATTCTTTGTATGGCGTATTTATGACATACGAACGTCCTGCACACGAAGATTTGACTGAGGAAACATGCACAGTCAAAAATATACTGGAAAACAGAATGTAGGGTAAGGTCTTAGAATGCATGCCAAAAGAGACTATTTCCAAACATCTGACATAGGAAATGATAGCCATATGTCAGTAGGTATATACTACGAAACTTGTTCACTAGCATGCCTTGAACGAGCAAGTCCAAGTAAATTCTTGAGACTAGCGTCAAACATTTAACGCAAAGAGTTGATCTTTCAGAGAGGCGCGTAGCTGATATACTTGTGCTTAAGTTTATAATGTACCACGTATATCTCTATTATCTCTAATTTAAGTATGAGGGTAATGTCACGAGATATTACGTATATAGAATGCCGGATATAAAATTTGTGCCCTTCTTTCTCTTTTTTACGCAAAAATGACAGAACTAATTAGTATAGGTATTATCAAGAATATTTTCGAAGCACATGCTAACGGAAAAAAACTACCGGAAAATCCAGTTTTACAAGTGTTGAAGATTGCCGCAGCAAACCCAGTACAGAATCAGAACCCAACTGCCAGTCCAAGATACAGGTCTGTATTTGTTCATAACTCGTAGCTCATGGACATATTTTCTTTTTTGCAAGAACTTCATCAGTTATAGACGCGTATATTCAACGCGTCTTGACGCGTTTTGAGCACTTAACATATACTTTATGAAAAATAATATTACAGAGCGGCTTTTTCAGACGGTTATACATATGCGCAGGGTAAATGATAATGTATTTGAGACCACTTTTATTTAGAAGTTAAAACAACCTTAACTAAGTAAATGTTGGTTCCTGTCAGGCGTCATCTCTTCACTCGGTATGAATGTAAGCGGGGAAAAGCTAGACAGAGGACACCTAATCCGGCTGACCCAATACGCAGTGAATCCGACACAAAATATAAATGGCGCCGCACACAGGTTGTGAAACAAACTATATTATATTTTCGGTTATCCTTTAAAGCGTTGATAGGCTCCTGAACAATAGTTTCTATATTTTCAGAGTTATTATTGTCTACTCGTACGAATTAGCAGACGATAACATACATCCGATCATAGGCAACCCAAAGATTGAAGGGCAACAGCCGCTTCAACTTTTACAAAGGCCCATGCCTCAAGTCATGCCTCCTCAAGTCACGCCTCCTCAAGTCACGACACCTCAAGTCACGATACCTCAGGTCACGCCACCTCAAGCACAAGTTATGCAACCTCCTTCTTTTGGAAAAAATGAACAATCCAGCTCATCAATACAACAAATGTCAACATCCACCACATTTGGTGGTGTTCCTAAGTAAGGGTTTTACTTTATTTGCTGAGTCTTACTAAATTTTAATGATAATTTCTCAATTTTAAGCTTTGGAAGTGGGCAACGTCTATCCACTGATTCTAACGATGGAAATTATTCAGTTCATGAAATTCATTATCTGAGCCCTTATCACAACAAGTACGCATTCACATATTATCAGACATGCAGTGGTTTTGATCGATCGTTAACCAATGATTTATTTCAGGTGGAAGATTAAGGCATTTGTAGGCTCAAAATCAGAAATTAGACGTTGGCAAAATAAACGTGGCGATGGGAAATTATTTAATGTCACTTTGCTGGACAGCAGTGTGAGTCTTTACATTGTAATAAACGATAGGTGTCTTATAATATAATAACGATCGTTATTAATTTTAGGGAGAGATTAGGGCCACGGCCTTTAATCAACAAGTAGATGAGTTTTATAATGTGCTACAAGAAGGAAAGGTAGGTTACGAATACTTTCAATTTATCTGCCACTTACAGTATCTAACTTATGTTATCGATCTACCAAAAAGTTGTACTACATCTCCAAGGCGAAAATTACTGTTGCGAAAAAAATGTATTCGACGATAAAACACGATTATGAAATTACCCTTGAAAGCGGAACCCAAATTGTGCCAGTATGTATTATGTCCATGCTTGATAAAAATACATTAAATCGATATTCATTTAGTCAATTGTTTTTCCGATATCAGTGTTTAGAAGATCCTACAAGTATCTTAAAATTTGAATTTGTTCATATTGCCAATTTGATGGAATATGAAAAAGATCGTACCATAGGTGAATGATTTATCTGTAAAATGTTTATTGTACAGCATTGCTCATTGCTATTCTGCAGCTATACTTAATTTTTCTTATCAAACAGATATTATAGGAATAGTTAAAACGTGTCATGAATTGCAATCTATAACAACAAAAGCGACTCAAAAAAGTGTATGTTATTATTATTATAATAATAATATATATATATATAATATTTGGAAACTCTAGTGATTATTAACAATATTTAACTTTTTTCTGTAGATTAACAAACGTGAACTTGACATTGTCGATAAAAGTGGCTTTACAGTTAGACTAACCTTGTGGGGACAGCAAGCAGAAAATTTCAAGATGAGCGAAAGTCCTGTCGTCATTGTATGTAAAAATGTAAAAGTAGGAGATTACCAAGGTGTGTGTATAACCAATTGTTCCATGTTAATTATTAATTGATTATTTAGTTGAAAATCGTTTATGTTTAAATTACAGGACGTTCTCTTTCGGCTTATACTGGTACCACGTTGTTACTCGATCCTGATATCCCAGAAGCTAAGGATATGCGTGATTGGTGAATGAGATTAAATTTTTTTTGTCAATTCATTTTTTATTTCAAAAATAGTTTTAAATGTGCGTCTCTTAATGTTTTTAGGTATAAATCCACAGGGATACACGAAGAATTTAATTCATTTAGTGGCGCAGGTGGCTCATTCTCACAGGATAGGGATGAAAACAAGAAAACAATCGAACAAGTTAAAGCAGAGAATCTTGGTATAAACGAAAAGGTATTTTCTATTATGTTACATTGTATCCAAATTAATCAAATTTCTTTAATCGGGAATTTCATCACCTCATTATGCTCAGGGCGATTATTTTTCAACCACGGCATTCATCATTTTTATTAAAAGGGATAATATATCATACCCCGCCTGCGTTTCTGAGGGATGTAATAAAAAGGTTACAGACGAGAATACTGGTGAAGGATGGCGTTGCGAAAAATGCTCGCGAACATATTCACAACCAAACTATAGGTGACTTTTTTTTGAATGACGTATAAATATTCGCGATTTTGTGTTAATTTATATTTATTATACAGGTATATAATGTCGGTTAGTGTAGCTGATTATACTGACAGTGCATGGTTTCAATGTTTCAACGAAGCTGGTGAAAGAATCTTAGAATATAACGCTACGGCTTTGCATGAACTTAGGGTAACTTTTTTTTTTTAAAAAAAAATTCTATTCTTTCTTACATCAACTCTAAACTCTCGAAATTATTTGAAATAGGAAAGGGATGAGGCTGCTAGCGATTTAATTATCGAAAAAGCGTATTTCAAACCATACGTATTCAGATGTCGCGCAAAAATCGAAAATTACAATGTAAAATCAATTTCATTTTATAATTTCTCACCGTGATACTTACAGAATAATAATATACCGTATGTATATGCGTTACAGGATAGTTCCAGGGTTCGATATACAGTGATCAGCGCAAATCCCGTCGATTTTATTGCGCAGTCTCGCGAAATGCTTCGTAATATAAGTGCAATGGAATCTTCTTGACTTTAATTAGGTGAACTATTCAAATTCAAAAGTTTTTCGGAATACAAATTGTCTTTTCTTACAACCTTATATATTTTTACCACTGAACAGGAACTACCTTAAAAATAAAAGAAAATCGAATAATTACTCTTATACTAGCAAGTTATTAATAGTTTTAGCTTATCCGCAGCATGCTACCACTTGTAATTGGAAAATACTTTAATAAATAGTTTCTAAAAAAACTGCGTTTTTATTATTGCCATGTTAACAAAAAGAGATGTTTGTATTACGTACGAGAATTATTGAACCGCAGTTTTATCGGTATACGTTGATTGGACAATTATGTATATAAATATGTATGGCCTAAACTTAGTTCGTCAAGTTCATCAAGCTAATTCACGAACTACATACATATCTCAGTAAAATGGCATACAATAGAAGCCAAACGAGCACGATTAGTGAGAATCCGAAAGACTACGAAGTAAAGATCGAATTTTTTTGTTGATCGATTAAAGAAAGTTTTTCAAAGTTTTACTTATTGTATTTCAAAGGTTCCGCAACCACCGACGGACGGAATCTCTGCGCTGGCATTCAGTCCGACAAGTGATTTCTTGGCAGTCAGTTCTTGGGATAATAATGTAAGTATAAACCGAATTTTAAACTTCTGAGTCTTTCTGATATTAATCAACAATTTATTATTAGGTCAGAATATACGAAACAAATGCACAGGTCGGAAACGCCACTGGTAAATCCATGTACTCTCATGAAAAGCCGGTGTTATGTGTCGCGTGGAGTAAAGTAGGTAAAATATTTACTAAATGAGGTTTTTTTTTTTTGTATTCGTACGCGCTATTTACTGATCACCAATTTTTATGAATCTTAGGACGGACTCAAAGTTTTTTCTGGCGGCGCAGATAATGCTGGTCGTTGCTTCGATGTAAACACACAACAAGCTATCCAAATAGCTGCGCATGATCAACCTATCAGATGTATTAAATACGTTGATCAAGTGAATCTTGTTGCAACAGGTAGCTGGGATAAAACGCTCAAGGTAATTTAAAAATTTTATTGTTGCCTCTGTTGTATTGGAAAATAGTATTGCTGACCTTAATTTATTTCGATTAGTATTGGGATACACGTAGTCAATCACCTGCGCTGACAGTAAATCTCCCTGAGAGATGCTACGCAATGGATGTCATTTACCCCCTTTTGGTCGTTGGAACTGCCGAAAGAAATGTTCAAATTTACAATTTAGTAAACCCGAATACTCCTTTCAAGGTCCACAAAATTTTGAAATTTTGAAATTTTCGAATGAGTTTGTGTGTTTCCATAAATTAACGCGTTTTCTTGCTTCTACAAAGACTAGTTCGAGTCCTCTCAAATGGCAAACACGATGTATCTCTTGTTTTACTAGCGGCAATGGATACGCGATAGGAAGTATAGAAGGAAGAGTGGGAATTCAATATGTTGAAGACAAGGAGAGCCAGTATGTTTTCTCTTTTAATCTATCATGTTTTTCTAGCGCCAACTGGTCTGTAACTAACGTTATGCATCACTCATCAGGTCAAGTTTCTCTTTCAAGTGTCATCGGGATGTAAATAATGTTTATTCCGTCAATGCAATTTCATTTCATCCAATATATGGTACCTTTTCAACTGCTGGCAGTGATGGCATGTTCAACTTTTGGGATAAAGATTCTAAACAACGACTCAAAGGCTTTAACACTGTTGGCGCTCCGATTTCCGCCACTGCATTTAATCGCAACGGTACAATTTTTGCATATGCGGCTAGTTACGAGTGGAGTAAAGTAAGTTTTGTTATTTTTCGGTTGTGTTTTTTTACTTCGGGACAAGGGTAATGAACACATCACTTTGTATTGTTTTTTAGGGATATATCCAGTATTCGGGCAAGAATGCAATCTATTTACATTCAGTCAAGGAAGATGACGTAAAACCCAAATCCGCTAAAAAGCGCTAAAATTTATCAAGCATTCGATGAATCTCAAGTCAAAATAAAATGGCAGGGCGTTTCTATTACCGTATCTTGTAAATTGAACGAAATGATCGTGGATCAAATTCGGTTCAAAATTTTTACCTCAACTTGGCAAATTCGTATTCTCATAATCCTTTTTCTTAAACTTTGGTTTCTCGACTTCATAAGGTGGAAGGTAGAATCGATTATAGATTTTGGTTTCTTTGAAATTTGCTACTTTGAGGCATGCGTTAGAGCTGTGAAATTAAGAGTTCGTTCATCACTTTAAATACATTCGGTTTTGATGACTTTATATGAATGAAGCTGTTGGAATTAAAGACTGTGTAGGTCGTTAAAAATCTGATCCCTTTTTTACATGTGTATTAATTCTGTATTATTAATACTTATCAAGTTTTTAGCTTGTTTCTTCGAATCATAACAAGCTCCATTACCGAATACCCCATCCCGTATAGTAAAATTAAAGTTGTTTAATTAATTCTTATAATAATTTAATATCATTTGCCTTTTCTTAAACCATTCCTGGTTAATCCTTTGACGTTTATTTCGTTTTAAGTAACCTACCGAATATACGAGGATTTCTTTTTGGATTTTAAACCATTTTACTATGTTGTTCCTTTCGAACACAAGAAAGCTAGCTCATTAATTATTACCGCATGATACGAAGTCTATTAATAATAAATAGTATTTATACTCGATCATATATTTGTTTAAATTATATATTATTTTGGATTCAAAGAAATTGCAAACCGTGTTAAAAATTTTTGAAGAAAAGCAAACAAGTTGTACTTTAATATTATTTTTTTAAAAAAAATAACTACAGTAAAACCTCCATAAATTAATATTCTACTAAATTTATAAAATTCTCTGGTAATTTTATAAAATTTTGAAAAAAGCATTATGGTTTCAAAATTATTAATTTATAGAGGTTCTACTGTATAAATAAATAAAAATATACAGTTTGATTTAAAAAAAATATTCAATAATTTTTTTTAATCTTATAATTGATTTTTTTTTTTTAAATAATTTGTTATGAAAAATTATAGTTTTTGATTTTAATATTATTAGTAAAAAGGTGCAATTTTTTAAGAAACTTTAAATTCATATTTAATAACAAAATTATTAAAGCTTTAAAAAAAATATCAAATCAATATTAATTTTTTGTATAATATATTAGTTTTATGAAATACAAGATATATAAGAATTATACACTGCTTGATATTTATACTTTTAGATTTGATAACTTAAGTCAACTAATCTGAAACTAAAATAATTATTATAAAATTAAAAAGTATTGAATTAATTAATAGGTTTAATTCTTAAGAAATTATATTTTACTTGATTGTTATAACTCTTAAATTTGATAGTTATTCAATTAATAATTAAAATTGAAGTATTTATTAGAAAATACATATTTATTAAGAAAAGCAATTTCTATTATATTAATTATATAAGTGAAAAAATAAAATATGTTAAATAATTTATATAGATAGTCAATAGTAATTATAATATATATATATAATTGAATCAATAGATTGAATGGTTTAAACTATATATATTGCTAAAATTTGTAAATCATTGATACAATTGATATAATTATTTGATGCAATTAATTGAGTCATTATTAAAATATATAAATAATTGAGTCATGATGTAATTATTTTTGAGAATTTTGAAAATTAAATAGATAGTAAATAATTTATATCACATATATAGTTTAAACTATACATATGATAAAATTGAATTTGAATATTTTTAAAAAACCATATTATTATTAAAAACATAAATTAATTGAAAATTATATTAATTAAAAATTGTATTATAATATATAATAAAAATTAATAATATAATAATATAAATAGTTTTAACTATATATTGTATATAATAAAATTGAATTTGAATATTTTTTAAAAATCATATTATGTTAAAATTATATATGTTTTCTTATTACTATAAAAAAAATTTTAATTGAAAATATAATTTTGAATTAAATACAATTTTCAATTATTTACTATATGTTACTTAGTAATTTTAATATAATACAATTTTTAAAAAATGTTTAAATTCAATTTTATTATATATATAGTTGAAATTATACATGTGGTAAAATTGAATTCAAATATTTTTCAAAAATTATATTATTGATAAAATTTTTTTTTATAATAATAAGAATATATATATAGTTTGAATTACTAAGTAATATATTGTATAATAAATAATTGGAAATCATATTTAATTCAGAATCATATTGTAGATCAGATTTCCTTTTATAGTAATAAGAAAACATATATAGTTTAAACTAGTAATAGGATTTTTCATCTTCAAAATAGATTCTCCAAAAATATGTAATACATTTCTAAAGTAAGTAGCATATCATTAGGCATAACAATAGATAAGCTAGCATTTAACTGTAAACATAACATTATAGAGGATGTTTGATGTATGAAAGTTGTAATATTCTCAATATATTCAATAAAGGCCTGTATCTAATGTTATTCTACTAAAAAAAAAAGTTTATAATATTTATTTAAGATTAACCAAATCTTTTTAATATTTGAAATAAAATATTTTGATTTTTCTATTTAAATCAACAAGTTAAATTATTTTTTATATTTTAAAAAAGTTTGTAATAAAAAAAAAGTACTGTATAGAGTTGATTAAAGTATCCACAATTCTTATAAAGAATGCAATTGCTATTTTTTAGTTTGGTTAAAAGTTTTTTTTATTTAACTTTTTATTATAAAGTATATGAAAGAAATTTGCCCTGTTTAAATAAATACAGTAAATTAAATTGAAAATGTAATATATTAAATTGTTAACCTCAATACAAATTCTATCGATTCTATTTATTTTGTTTCTTTAAACACTTGCTTATTTATTCGATCGGTTTCTTTTTTTCCCTGCTCATTGCCTCTATTTTACGATATGGTAACCACTGGGCTATTCTATTCTTTGCGCTTTTATCCAGTCGTAATTCATTTTTCAAGCCAACATTTTTAGCCCACTTTTGAAGTTTTACTTGTGCGTCTTTGAGTTCTCTATTTTTTTGACCAAAGTCCGATGGTTTACGCGTCTTAATCCATGTTTCTATCGCACCACGAGTAATCTCCCGCGACTGGTCCAATTTTACAGATTCTATTTCAGACTTGTAAGTATCCACATTGTAACCTAATTCTTTCAGTTGTTCGAGTACCCGATTTTCCATCTGCCAAGATTTTGTTTCCCTACAAACCAGCAGTATAAACATAATGTCCTCGTCGTCAGGCAATATGCTGAAATAGTGAAAATCGTCCCACAACACGTATGTCATTTCCACGTCCTTAGATTCAGCGTGACATTTTAACAACGAAGAGAGTAGCATGTGATTTGGTCTTAACCCTAGATCGATCATTCTTTTATACCAAAATCTCGCTTCGCGTAAATGTTTTCCTTTGCAAGAACCAGTTATAATAGATCTAAATGTTTCATCGTTAATGTTATGATCACGTCTTGCCATCAACGATAAATATTCATCCACCTTAACTCGGTCACCTACTTGTGCTATCCGCCAGATAACCATTTCAAAAGCTATTTTCCCTGGATTCGTTAAATTCAACAGTCTTTCAAAAACTTTCTGAACTATTGAAACATCATCCAGTTTACTGGCGGTGTCGACCATCCGATTAATGGTAAGGGTATTTAGTTCAATGTTTGAATTTAACATATCACCATATAACTCAAATGCTCGACCGACATCACCTTGCGCTATGTGACCAACAATTAGAGAAGAAAAGATGTAAGAATCCGCTTGAATATTATCTCTTTTCATCGCTTCATATAATTGCATTGCCCTTACAACATCACCATTTCTAATGTGAGCGTTTATGATTATTGAATAGGTCGAAACTGAAGGTTTAAATCCACATTTTAACATAAGCTTCAGAATCTCATTAGCATCATTAAATTTTGATTCATTGAGGGCTTGATTCATGAATGTGTTATAATCCTCTGTTGTCGGAGTCATATTATATGTATCTCTCATCTTTATTAATGCTTGTAGTCCAGTTATTCCAATTCCTTCTAGGATTAGTGCATCGGGTAAGCACTGATCGTACTCCATCTGATTGAAAAGTTGCAATGATTCCGTACGTTCATTCATTTCCATCAGCGATTTAATAAGTATATGGTAGGTTGAAGTTGTTAAGTTAACATGATTCTGTCTCATTTCTTCAACGATGTCAAATGCCGGCCTCAATTCCTTTATATTACGAGCATTTCTTGCAATCACATTAATCCGTGCATTATATACCACTACATCGGGTTTAATTCCCTCTTTAAGCATAGCTTCATAAAGTAGTTTGGCTCGACTTATACTTTGCTTCTTCGCACAAGCTTGAAGTAACACTGTGTATGTTCTGTGATTTCTCTCAATACCTTTTTTTACCATCTCATCATAAAGCGCAAAAGCATTGCCTGGTTTTCCTAATTTAACAACGGCGGTGATTATTATGTTGTATGTCACTGTATTTGGATTGATATTCTGTTGCTGCATTGCCTTGAAATAATGTTTGATCCCTTTGAAATCCTTTCTCTCCAGGCACATGGACATCAAAATATTGTATGTGGATTCATCAGGTTCTACCTTGGCTACACTTTGCATATCTTCTAATATTGTAAGCATTCTTCCATGAGATTCCGGATGTGATGAGATGCTTTTTTTAAGTAAACCGAGCACCCTATTGAAATCCTTAATATCCAATTTATCCAACTGGTTGGAGTTGACCAGAGACTTATAAGACAACCATGCTTCTTCTGAACCTCTTCCTTCAGTTTCAATCAATATGGGATCTTGTAGTTCTTCATTAGATGATGGTGACGTTGGAATACCATTCGCTGTTTCATTGCCAGAATTCTCATCCTTATTGCTTGACTCATGCTCTAATATCTGCCTCTCGTTCAAAGAAAGTCTATTGATTAACAAACTATCATCAATCTCTTCGTTTCCCATATATTCTACATTGTTCTCGTCTCGACGTTCTTGGATCATCGTACCATATGACTGGTTGAATAACCGATTCGATGATAATGAAAAAGAATATCTTATTGGGTAGATTAAATTTTCATGATGGTTAAGCTTCGTCACACAAACACACCTTTGACACCGCAATAATGAGTAAAAAGGTTCAGTAAACATTGAAAAATTTTTTGCGGGGTTAATGTTTAGAAAGCTGAAAGATCTGTTAGGTAATCTTCGTAAGCTTTTGTACATGGTAGGTAATTCATCCAAAATTTTAAGTTGTAGATTGAAGAGATCAACGATCATCCGATCGGTAAAATTCCGCATGGAAAAGAATTTATTCTAGAAAATGTCCGGCATTAAATCCAAGAACCGGGTAAGCAAAAAAAAAAGAATTTTCTAATACATCCTTGATGGATTTCGGTAATACAAAAAAAGAAGAATTTCTATTTAGAAGGGTATGTACCAGGTACATTACATTTGAAATAGAGCTCTTCTGATCGATAAAGTTTTCAGATTCATTTATGCAAGGAGCTAACAAACAAACAAGAAACCATGGTTCGTCTCGTGAATTTCTGCATGAGTGAAAACATAAAGTGTAATTTCTTTTCTTTTGTTATTCACATGTGTGTAATTATTCAATCTGTTTTTAAGAACAAAAAAGTTTGGGTATCCTGAATGACTGTCACCATACGTCATCTCAAAATAATTTATTTATGGATATGACGTAATATTCGAATACTTGTCTGTAATATCCGGTATCCTCCGTCAAATCCGAATCAAAACAATTTTATCAACACAATTCCGATTTAAAAAGTGCAAAAATAACCTTTTTTTTCTTCAAAAAAAGAAAAAAAAAATAATCACAAAAGAAAATAAAGGTTGACTGTGAACTATCGATTGATTCTTAAGAAAGTATCACACGCACAAAGGTAAGTAACACAGCTAGCAAAATTGGATGTATCACAAAAGACGCCAACCATATTACTTTTAAACATAGTACGCAGCCTAAATTGGTTTTTTTGCTATTCTCTTGAGAAAGTACTGTGGTCGGTTGCTTTTGTCAGACTCCGAAACTTGAGGGCATTTCTGATTGTAAGGGGGATAAAGTTATAAATAGCAGCATTCTATTTGTTGTCGAATTGTTTAAATGACTTTTGTCTCTAAAAGATATTACTCTATCTAAACGTCTTTCTTGGGATATATCTGGTTTAATTATACGAGAGAATGGGTCAAACACTCTCTGAGCCTGTCAGAGAAAAGCACTCTGCTAATGGACACGACGAACGTCTCATGTACGCTTCTTCGGCTATGCAAGGGTGGCGTATTAGTATGGAAGACGCGCACACCACCTTGTTGCAAATTCTTGATAAAAAGGGATATAGCTTTTTCGGTGTATATGACGGACACGGCGGTAAAAAAATTTTTTTTTTCATGAATCTATTAATTACATTAATTTATTGAGTTGATCTCTAAGGTATCGTTATTTCTATTTGGGCGACCCAGTTGACAATAATTATCTTTTAAACATTCATTATTAGGTCAAAATGTAGCTAAGTATAGCGGTGTACATCTTCACGATCGTATCGTTAAAGACTCTAATTTTGGTAAAGATATCGAGAAGGCTATAAAAAATGGATTCTTGGGAATAGATGAGGACTTGAGAAATGGTATCATTCTAAATACATCTATACATATATTAAATATGAATGAATAAATGTTGATATGTTGTTTCGCTGATGTCTCAGACACTTTGTTTCAAAACGATCCCTCTGGTTGTACCGCGGTCACAGCTGTCATAACCCCCGATGATTATATCTATGTGGTGAGTTTTGACGTTGACGATGGTTGCTTACAGGAAAATTCAACAATATTAATATTTTTCATTATTCAGGGAAATGCCGGTGATTCTCGTGCTGTTCTCAGTGTGAACGGTGAAGCTGTAGCAATGTCAGATGATCATAAACCACTCAACAAAGGTTTGTCATACCGAAAATCGTTTCTTAAAAAATGATTTCCAAATATTATTATTGTTGTACTGACTAAATGTTACCAACAGATGAATCCTCCCGTATTACAAAGGCCGGTGGTTTCATTGAATTCGGAAGAGTTAATGGTAGGTGTCTAGTTATTTCCATTTCTCTGAAAATTGCTTGCTAAAATCATTGACGTTTTTTAAAGGTAACCTCGCTTTGTCACGTGCAATTGGTGATTTTGAATTCAAACAAAATAATAATTTGGAAGCCGAGGCGCAAATTGTGACAGGTATAGTTTTTTTTAATTCAAAGCATTATTCCCTAATTATTTCCATCATTCGAACATATCTTATTTTCTGATATCATTAATAATTCTTCGTTACTTTATTTGACTATCATGTTATAAATTTTAGCGCTTCCTGATGTCAGAAGAGAGAAGATTATTTCTGATAAAACCGAATTCTTGGTGTTAGCTTGCGACGGTAAGATATATATAAATTTTCCGTTTTTTAAGACCTAGATTATTAATTAACACCCACTTACCGACGCTTAATATAGGTATATGGGATTGTCTTACATCACAGCAAGTAATTAGTTTCATCCGCAAAAATATCAAGGAAAATAAGTCACTCCAGAAAGCGTGCGAAGATCTGATGGACCGTTGCCTGGCCAAAGATAGTGAACTTGGTGGTATCGGATGCGACAACATGACAGTAATAATTGTTGCCTTCCTTAATGGAAAAACTGTGCAACAATGGTACAATTGGATGGCATCAAGGTACGGAAATTTGGGTCCCGAATATCATGCCGAAGATGTCAAACCACAAAAGCAAGAGGACTTTCAAGATATGAATGATGAATTAGAAGAAGATTTAGAAATTCCATCAACAGATGAATATACCGATACCGACCTCGAAAATCAAAACCAGCTGACTATCGACGACGTATCCCGTCCTGAAAGGGAAAATAGCAGTGACTCGCTGCTTGATTCTCCAAAATCTGAAACCCCACGTTCCCTTTCACAACATTCTTCCAGTGCAAAGAGTACTTCCAAAAAATTTGACAATTCACCTTCAAAATTATCGGTGGAAGACAAAGGTAAAACCACTGCCACAACAAATTATAATAATACTTCTTTCACCGGCAGGAAGGACTAAGCCTTTGAACTGGTATATATTTAAGTAAAAGAATGTTTTTCTTGCCTTCTAGATAGGACATTAAGTCATTCTTCATATCCAGGAAAAAAATCACTTGCGAGTAGGATTGCTAAATGGGGACAGAATGTGAATATGATTATCGGGTTCAGAGCTCTGAGTCGGAACAACGAAGGTTCTTTCGGTAACGATGGCAAAAATCAAACGCGAAAAAGCAACTTGTGTGATAAAGGCTTTAGCGATAGCAAAACGTGAATTCATTTCATAAAAAAAAAAAAAATGGATCGTTAGTTTCAATGAAATGTGACATGCTTATATAACTTTGCGTTTAATGACGTCTGTTGTATTAAAAACTTCACCTCATTTGACCCAAACTTGTATTCATCCAACTCTTTTCATTGTCTATGTGCTAATTATACTATAGTTATTTTTCATTTTTTTTTCTTTTAATTCACGTTTTTCATAGTGAGCTTTAAGTGTTATATATATTATGAATAAGATTAATAAATAATTTCCACAAAGATAATAGATTAATGTTTTGTTATTATTATAAATATTAACATAAAGTGTTATAGGAATCTATTTATAATCCAATTAATTTGATACTTAAATGTTATATGTTTGAAATATGTTAATATAAAACAATTACGTATATTAAATTATAGTCTGGAACAAAAAAAACTGCCTAAAACTAAAATATTATTTTTATTAATAATTTAATAATTAATTATTTAATTAAGATAAAATGTATATACTGTATATTTATTTATTTAAAGATAAAAAATAAAAATAAACAAATACAGTAGAACCTGTCTATAATCAACCCATATATAAGAATATATAATAAAAAGCCTTTTATAATCATATTTTTATT